GCTTTCTGCGCAGTATGGCCGTATCCGACGGCCTGTAAGCTCACATAAGATACCGTACCCAGGTGTGTCATGCCCTGGTCACAGAGCGAGGACCTGGACAGGTCGAGGCGCCTCAGTTGCGGCATGCCTACTCGTCTCATGAAAGTCAACGACACCAACACGATGATGACGATGATGACCACGACGACGACGATTATGATGGTGATGGTACGTACCACGCAGACAGCGCAGGTCGTTGGGTTTGATGAAGACGTGCAGCGACAACGAGCGCAGCTGGCGGAAGGGCGCCAGCAGACCCTGCATGCCCTGGGGTCTCGGGTGTACCGCGCTCACGCGTAGGGACCTCAGTCCCACGTGGGCGGTGCCGGCGCGCTGCTGTTCTTCCTTCTCGTACTGGCCCAGCAGCTCGAGCGCGTCCCTGTGCAGTCCTCTCGCTCCTGTGCGGTCAACACAACTTGTTAGGTGTGTGCGGTGCGCAGTGTGTGCGGTGTCGTGTGTGCGTGTGGCGTACCACCGAGTGTTTTGTTGGCCGCGAGCAGGTGGAGATCAAACTTGCGTAGCAATGCGGCAGTGATGGGTACCATGACCGACACCTCTTCCCACATGCGCAGCTGAGATGGGCGAAGGAGGGAGCAAGCTGATGTCAGACCAAGCACTGTTGCCTGCCCCCCTTGTGGGGGGGGGGATAAAGGTGGTACCTGCACGCCGGTAGGGAGGTAGCGTAGGGACTCGCAGTGAAGAACATGCTCTAGCGCTACCTGCAGGGCCAGCTCCTCCAGCGTGCGGCCAGCCATCCTTCGTTCCTCTTCAGACCTTTTTTTGAAATATAACTTCAAATCGATCGATCATTTATCTGCTTTTATTCCAGGTATCTTTGAGCCAATCACAGATTATTTTACAAACTGTTATTGAAAAAATGTGACATTCTTCTTCTTCTATACTTTGCAGATTGGAGGAGGGCCACGTCTTCGTGGTGCGCCTGGACCTGTCGGCGCTCCTCCAGGAGCTCGCCCACGAAGTCGCGCTCGGCCTTGTAGCACCGGGGCATGGTGAATGCGAACAGGAAGCTGAGCAGGGAGATGAATACGGCCACCACCGTCCGGTCGCTTCGCTGCACGGCCTGGGCCAGCTCGAACGACAGCACGAAGCAGGAGCCCAGGAAGAAGGCGTAGATGCCGGTGATGTAGACCAGCGCGCAGGGCAGGCTGCGCCTGAAGTAGCCCACGAGCCCGACGGCCCCGATGACCATCAGCATGGGCGACCCAATGGCGAAGACCAGGTGCATGGGGCTGTCGGGGTAGCGCGAGAAGTCGAGGCACCACAGGGCCACCGCGTAGACCAGGCCGCCGGCGAAGAACACGCAGCAGTTGAGAACGTGAGCTGACAGCACCATGATGATGATGAAGGTGAAGAAGAAGGTGGTGTAATAGTGATGAGTATGAAGAACAGAAAAATGAAGCTGAGAGCTAGCTGGTCGTTTTTTAATGCAGTGGTGGTCGGAGTCTTGGCGACCAGCTGAATGAAGTGCCAAAAGTGGTCTGGCGGGAGGTTAGCAGCGTGGACCGAAGATGGCGGCCCGAAGCTGGCGAAGCTCCGCGATGGCGGAGGAACCGGGCTCGGCGGCGACGTCGAGGGTCGCGGCGACGTCGGTCCAGTGGCGCATAATGAAGTGAAGCGCGGCCTGGCGCAGGGGCTCGGCGTCGAAGCGACTGGCGATCTCGTAGAGCCACGACGCGTTCGAGACTTCGAGCGCTTCCGCCAGCGCCTTGCCGCACAGCGCCCTGGTTGGAGACCAATTCATGAATGTCAGCGTGTCTGAGGCCTCTTGATCTAGAGAGGGTGCGTACTTGAGGCGGGCGAGCTGGAACAGATCAGCCGCCATCAGCAGCTCGGCCAGATTCTCAGGCAACTCGTTGATCTTGTCCTGCGCGATTGTTGCCATATATGAGACCCGCAGTCGATGACGATGACGATTACGATGACGATGACGATGATGATGAAAACGTACAGTGTAGATGAACTCGAGTATGTGCTGCAGGACGGGGAAGGCGATGTCGTGCAGCTCGACCTCGGCCACGCCCTCTCGGCCCTCCTTCATCCCACTGTCGTTGCCATTCATGGCAATGCAAAGAATGAATCTACACCGCACATGAAAGGAGGAGGAATCGCTCGAATTCCGTACCTGGTGAACATGGTGTGCAGGTACTTGCTGCGGGCCATCAACAGGTACTTGTGCGCCCTGAGTTTGTCTCCGCCGACCACGAGCGTGACGTCCTTGAACTGGTCGTCGGTCATCAGCTTGAGCTGGGCCACCTCCAGCTCGCTCTGCCGCGCCGCCGGGTCCGTAGGCACAGCCACGCCGAACTCCTGGGCCAGCGAGACGACGCCCTCGTGCGCGATGTCGGGGCTCGCCGTTGGCTCATCGTAGGCCAGAGTATAGACCGCGCGCACGAAGCTGGCAAACGTGGCAGCAGTCGCGTGTTCGGGCAAGTCGATGGGCACTTGCGTCAGCCCGGTGGTGCTCGGGTCATGACCCGAGAACATGGCTCTGTGAAGAAACAGGAGTTTAGTAGTGTGCGTGCGTGAGTGCGTTTGTGTGCGCGCGCCTGCGCTCTTGCGTGTGCGTGTGCGTGTGCGTGTGCGTGTGCGTGTGCGTTGTGTGTAAGCTAGGGAGAGAGAACGAACCTGAAAACGGGGCTACGGCCGACCAGAATGGATTTGTGCGCATACACCTTGTCCTCGCCGTTGTTGAGTACGAATACCACGTCGGGCAGGGCATCGAGATCGTTGACCAAGCGCGACAGGTGGTTGATAAGCCGAGATTTGGGCAGTTCTATGCCCTCAGCACTCGTGGGGTCGGCTGCTGGGCGTGACATCTCAGTGATTAACCACACACGACACGCACGACACACACGACACACACGACACACACGTACGGGTGTGGTTGGCCGGATGGAGAGTCCTGAGAGTAAACTCAGAGGGATCGGTCTGGCACTGGCAGCAGGCCGACTGGTTGACCCACTCGTCGAAGTCCCACGAGTTCGGCCTACGAGCGAACAGCTCCTCGAGAACAATCGGTACGTCGCTGAGCTGCCAGACACGCTCGCGATGGGCTCGGCTGAGGCACAGCAGACCGTCGTGACTTACTTGCGGATGGAAGAATGGCGTCACCATTCGAATCTGGTCGATGCAACATACGTGCAGCGAACGAGGTACAAGCGCTGCTCAGCTCGCTATCATATCCACCACCAGCCGTCGCCGCCTCCGCCCATCACAACCGCCACCACCCGCAGCCACCAGAAATGCGCGTACCTGAATCCACCCGCGCAAACGCAGTCTCACACACGCTGTGTACAGGCTATAGTTTAAGCCAACATAGTCGGACAGCTGGGTATGGCGCAGTGAGGACTCTCTCGCAGGTGCAGGTGGACGAACGCAGTTTTGCTTACCTTCTTGTCGTCTTCCCACAAGCCAGCCTGGCCGTAGTCGTGCAACTCGATCGCGCCGCGTTCGATGTGGTCTCGCGCACTGATTGTGTCCTTCAGTTCTGTCGTGCAACGAGCGCGCATGCGTGTGACACGAGCGTGGTGAGTTGACCGAAAGGAGATGAGTCTCATCAATAGAACCACAAGGTGCGGGTACGTACCTCCGATTGTCATGTCCCGGGTGGTGATTGTGAGGGTCTTCAGGTTCACTGTGCCAGAGCGCAGCTGCAGCTCGAGGGTGGCTGAAGGCCGTCCTGATGAACTCGACAGCGATGTACCTGACGCCTCCTCTGGCAGCGTGTGTCAGGGTGACTGCGGTTACAGAAAGAGAAAGGCGAAATAGCAGAAGATCAGTATGCGGCGCACCTTTGAGGCGGTGCCAATCGACCTCGTCCAACACTCCAAACTTGATATCAAACATGAACGTGCGCCCGGCATACATGCTGTCTCCCTGGTTCGAGAGAAGAATCAGAAAAACACAGCAAAATAAGTGCGTTTCGCTACTGTCCATGCGTGAGGTACCGGTGGCGTGTAACAGCATCGCAAGTTCGGTCCTGGATGATAGAATGCAAGGAATGTCAACCACCAGGATTGTGTCACAGACGATCAGCATTTTCTCGTTATTATTATTTATCAGTGTGCAAGAAGGCCGCACCCCATTGCCAACCAACGGGCCAGATAGAGAACCCGGTCACGGGCGAGGCCCAGAGCTCTTGGAACTCCTGTTTGTTCGGCCGCCGCCCAGTCAGTTGCACGATTCGTGATCAGAGCGCGATCAGCGTGGGCGCACTGACCTTTCGTGCTTGGGCTTCGGCGGCCATCGAGCCGAACGAGTTGGGCTGCGGGTTGGTGGTCGTCGGCTCCGCGCCGTCGGGTGCAGGCCACAGTTGCGAACGTCGCTGCTCTTCCTCGCTTTCCTGGCCGGGCCCGCCACCACGAAGACGCAGCACCAGGTGCAGCGTGCACTGATCACTCATGCCGTAGTCCGCGCAGGTCCGTCCATCCTCCAGTCTCTTCCCCGCAAATATCATTCTCTGTTGATCTGCGCAAACAACACACAGCACACGCACACGCACACGACACACACGCACCGCACACACAAGACACACGGTGTTCGAACACCGCATTTTTGTTTATTTGAGTTTCAGTGAAAGTCAAAAAGCAGGTCTAGGTACCTGCAGGTATGCCTTCGAGCGCCCAGACCTTGAACTTGAGGGCCTCGACGGTGTCGTTGGGGCCGGCCCGTATGGTGAGCAGCTGGCCCTGGAGGGTGCGCACAAACACCTGCCAGACGCCCACCTGCGGGCCGGTGAAGCGGCGGCCTGCACCATCATCATCAACACCTCCTCTCGCATAGCCCCTCGCCTTCCTCTCGCTCCAGTACCGCCTCATTGTGGACGGCAGCCACTCTGTTCGTTGCTCCTTCTCCATCTTCAGAAAAATAAACAATATAAAATAATATTTTTAATTTGGTTTGCTTCTATTTTCAGCTAAAATGCCAAATATTGCACACAGCCGAGGCACTAAAACAACAAAGAGAAGAGAGCGTGGGTGGGGAGGAGGGCAAGGCCGATGGATGATGCGACGAAGATGGTGGCGTAGGGGCTCACGAGACGGAAGACGTCTTCGACGAGGGTCTTCTCCCAGGCGTGCTGGTAGACCAGCGGCTCGACATGCAGCTGCCACCCGAACTGGGCAAAGTACTTGGCCAGCTGGTCGGCCATGCCCGGCTTCAGCGTCAAGTACTCCTTCGCACCACTCTGGGGCACGTCCCACCACTTGCCCTCACCGCGCGATCTGGAATCACCACGTCAGTCCCACACACAGACACGACACACACACACTATGATGGAGACGTACGCGAAGAGGCCCTGCGTGCGAGGCGATCGATCTCGACACGCATCTCGCTGATGAGAGAGCCGTTGGTCGGTTTGGAG